GGTTCCTGGAGAGTTTTCTCTTCTGTGCAGGTCTGCATCTTGCTTTCTACACCTCAGGAGAATTATTGACAGATTTCTATTTTGTTCTCTGCTAAACCACTACATCCAGATCATTCACTGGCAATGTTATGCATAAGTTGTCTAGAACCACAATTAACTTTTCACATATCCAACCACTGTTCTTCTTATATTGTTTTTATGGAATGCTTTACATTTATTAACTCATTTAGGGAAGTAGTATTATCCTCCTTTTACAGGTAAGATATCTGAGGCAGGGTCATGCTAGTAAATGGCAGAACCATGATTTTGAACCCTGACCATCTGTACTTTATTAACTATCAGGGTAAAATCTGTTTCTCTAGTGTTACTGTTGCTCCTGTCAGTTAAATTGGATTCATGTAGCCTGAGGTTAGACTGCACAGACTAAGTGAAATGTTACTTTTTGCCTAAAATGGTATCATTCTTTGAAGGAAGAAGTGGAGATCAATTTAATGATCTCATACCAGTGAGTTTTTTTAGCTAGGTGAATTAAACAACTGGGAATATAAATTGTTATATAATACATGCTGCCTGTAACACAATTTTTTTATGATATGGGTTCTTTTGAGGGGATTAGTTAAAAAATGAATTCTTAGTCATTTATAGAAATGAGGAAATGGAGACTTGGTTATACCCTTTATCACTATCTTCTTCATAGTATGGTTAAGTATACACAGGTCTTCTCCCCTCCTAAAGTGTGAGTTCCCAGGGCAGGCACAGTTTCCTGTTTATCTGGGCATTCTACTTTGAAATCTTGTGCCTTGCTTTGTTTGTACTTAGAGGTAGAGGATGTTGGAGAAGAGGAGTATGGACTTGTGCTCAGGCAGACCTGAACTTGAACTTCAGTTACTCCTTTTGCTGATAGGCTAGGGGTTGAAAAACTATAGCCTGTGGGCCAAATCTTGCTCACCGCCTGTTTTTGTAAATAACATTGTTATTGGAATACAGCTACACCCATTTGTTTACATGTTGTCCTACAATGTCAGAGTTTAGTTGAAACAACTGTGTAGTGCAAAGCCTAAATTAGTAAATATCTGGCCATTTACAGATGAAGCTTGATGGCTCCTGGATTGGATGATTTTATACAAGTTACCTAATCTCTTAAATCTTAGTTTCCTCATAAATGAAGTAGGATATAAATTACCTAATAAGTTCATGTTAAGGAAGGGACGTAAAGTATATGAGGTTTCTGGCAGGGTATTTAGAATGAATTAGGCCTTTAATATAGCTTTTATTCTTCTAATATATTTAGAAGTGCCTTCTAATATATCTAATATTTATTCTTGATAACCAACTTAATAAATCAGTGTCCTGAGGGGACTCTATCTCTCCCTATATTCTCATTCAATTCTTTCACTGAATTGGAAGATGAGCAGTATTAGTACAATTAGTGTATTTGGTAGGTATCAGCCTTTACATGTATCAGGCATTTTATGGATTCTTAAGAAATCTTGGGCTACTTTTCAGGTAAGGATTAACCTTTTAAATTTTAGAATTATCAATTTTGTTGCCTGACAATAAGGTACTATTTAAGAAAGGAAAGAAATGTTTAAAAGTGTCCTATATGATATTGCCTTTTATTGGGTTATAAACATAGGCATTTAGTGCAAGTTCATTTACAAATGAATGAATTGACAAGTTGACATGTTTGTGCTTGTGACAGATCAACTAGTTTGCACCATATGCGGGATGGTGACTCAAAACAGTGACATAACTGGACATGACTTTTTTCTTTCCTACTTAGTTCTTCAAAATTGAGTGAATTGAATAGAAACCCTGATATCGTATATATCATATAAATCATGTAAGTAACTACTTGGCCATGAATATTTTTGTTTTTTTCCTAAGAGTGTGATTTTTCAAGTAAATCATGGCAAAAATAGCTCCATGTCAAATCACTGTTTCTTAACTCCATGTTAAGTTACCAGAGCCTGGAACTTCCTTTCCTTAGTGTCCCCATATGAAAATGATCTTTGCAATTTTTTAATCCTTTGGTAGTTTTCAAGATTTTCACTCTGCCCTATTTTGCCCTTTCTCATTATGTAACAGATTCATCTGGAGGATATATTCTCTGTCATAATAGAGAAAGAGTAACCTGACAAATATTTCCATAGCACTCATCGAGCTTACAGTTTATTCAGGACAGCAAAAAGAATTCAACAAATAGTTAAAAAGAGTAATGAGTGAGAAGTAACTGGCCCAGGGGATTAGGAGAGCCTTCTCTGAGGAATCAACATTCAGGCTGAGATGTCAAGGATGTGTTCAGTGTAATAAATAAAGAATGGTGTAGGGTGTGTCTGAGGTGTCTGGGGCACTGGGTGTCTATGTGTGGAGAGTAGTATAGTGTGAGTCTGGACAAGGTCCAGGGCTGATGATCCTGGCCTTTTGGGACATTAAGTACTGAGAAGCATTAAAACCCATCCGTGTGGGTTCTAGGTTGACCTGGGGTGGCTGTTGCCATAGTTTAGGTCTGCTGAGGGATGCTGGGGTTATCAACTGATGTGACAGATGTGATCTAGTATGAGAGGGAGATGATGTCTTCCAGTATGAGCTAGACAGGATGGTTGATGGAGAGAAGAGGGCAGATTTGGACATGGGATTGACAGGACTCCTTTGATTGGATCTAGTATGAGAGGGAGATTATGTCTTCCAGCTTGAGCTAGACAGGATGGTTGATACCACTGATAGCAAACAGTGGGGGACTACAGGCTTGAGGAGACATGATTTCATCTGTGCATGTGTGTTTGAGGTGCCTGTTGAGTGTCAGTCAGACATACCAGGAAATTAATGTTGGAGTCACTCACTGGCCTTTTGAGAGTCAGGGAAGTGGATCAGATGCCCAGCAAGCAGTTGTGGATAGAGAAGCGAATGCCTCTTACAAAAGCTACCATGTTTAAAGAGTGTGAAAGAGATGCCTGTTAGAGGAAGCAGAGTATCAAAAAGAGGTCAAGAAGGGCAGTGAGGGACACGTCGGGTCACATAGAAGCCTCAGGTAGAAACTGTCAGGCATGATCAACAATGTTGAATGCCACTTACAGGTCAGTTGAGCCAGGGACTTGGAATGAGCCATTAGATTTTGTGACATGGAGGTCACTGGTAATCCCAAAAAAAACCAGTTTCATATTGTGGCAACCACTTGAGGTTGAGTCTTCTCAACCTCACTTAAAATCTTCAGTCTACATGTTCTATTTGAGACGACTGTTTCCTCACATTGTGGTGGTGCTCTGCAGCATGTGTATCTTTTAATGATCCTCCTCAGGTGCTTTCAGGCAGCTTCCATGCTGCTTTGCTGTATTTAACTCTGCTAGCTTGTCCCTTTAGGCTTTTTCTCACTACTAGTTTCATTAATCAGGCATCTAATGCTCTTAGTGTCTGAGCTCCTCACCATCCACAGTCCTCTGCTGCATTCTCACTTCAATACTGACATCTTTTTATAGTCAATGAAAATATTTTACCTCGTGTTTTATTTTCATTTTCTCTCTCCCTCTGTAGAAAGTGTGCTAAATTACTGGGAAAATACTTAAAATTAGTAATGTTTTATGAAATTGTTCTTGAATAATTTAGATGTTATTGAATAACTTGAATTACTGAATTTCTCATTTTTAATATTTGGACTGAACTTTTACTTTCATTGTGTGCTTCATCAAAACTATTATGTCAAGGGCCTCTAGAATCTTGCTTTGTTATAGAGAAAATCCATTGAGTTATCTCCTTGATCTGGGTTTATAATGGATTCAGATGTATATACATACACAGGACAGCTTTTGCTACTCTAACCTTTAATAATAACCCAGGAAATTCCAAATAGATGTGCAGAGTATTTCCAAACACATAAAACCATTGAACATTTCTGGTTGTTTGCTTTTTTTGCTGCCTGTTAGGAGTTACGCAGGTATATTGATTCTCCTCAGTTGTTTTGGTATTGCTGTCCTCAGAAAAATTAAAGCTATAGAGTTTGACACCCCCTTATTAATAGTAGATAAGTTAAAGGGATTCTCTGTAAAGTGAAGCAAAACTTTAGTTAAAGAAGATCACCTTGGAGAACAGATAAAGAAATTTTATATATATGGCTTGCAGAGGGAAAAACCCCAAAATAACCTACAGTTATTTTAAAAAATTTATTAATACAAGAAATTGGGAGGAAATCTATTAGTGCTTGAGGTTGAAAATAAAAATTACTTAGATATTTAATTTAAAAATTCTAGGTCAGCAAAAGGCATTGCATTGCTTTCTGGTCCTGTTTTCTCATGGACTTTTCATAGGATTATAGTGAGAAGTAATAAATAAAGTCAGTATTTGTGGTAAAGGGAGTCAGGCATCTTGGAGTGAAACAGTCTGTGCCAATTTAAGACATATAAAAGTGCCCAAAATATAAACTTATGTGGGGAGAAGAAAGGAAAACTTTTCATGGTGCTTTTTTTCTGGGTGTGGATAGCCTGGGTTTATCAGTACAGTTTTTCCAACACCATTTGCCCATCCACAGAAAGACCCAAATGATATTTTTATGAAGAGTATCTTTCAAAAAGAGCTCCTGCTAATCCTTATTGCAGAATGAAGCCTGCCAATACTCTATTTTGTAGCTATCCTGTATACATGAATGGATTCCCAGAGCACAAGAGAACTAATCATATATGTATTCTCTGTTCTAGAATTCTAGTAAATACTCTCCAGGCTACCAAGTGCTCTGTGTCACAACTTTCCCCTAGAGATGACAAGTGAACATGATACCAGGGTAATGATAATTCCCTCAATATCTCAGGAACATTTTTGTGTGTACTCTCACTTTCCCCCACTCTTTTTCCTTTCCTTTCTTGAACTGCTCAGAGATAGGCCTTCATGAAGTTCTTGATGGTTTTAGTTTTAAAATACAATATTAGAATTTATGGGAATATTTAGATAAATAGTAATGATGTCAGTTAAATGAGTCTGATAATTGTGTGGTATTTTTTTTTTTCTCCTAGGAGTGCTGTCTCTGCAATTTGAGAGGGGGTGCTCTTAAGGAAACAAAGAACAATAAGTAAGTAATGTGTTAATTGTGTTCAATTTTATTGTTTCCTTCTGCTCTCTAGAGTGTTGAACCTCTGGGTGGATAGTTTGCTGTGTTACCTCTCATTATTGGACACATTGTTCCAAAGCTTTTGTTGTCCAGATCTGAGGTTGGGATTCTTGGCATGTCTTCAGAGACTATTACTGACAGCACGTTCACCTCTCCTGGTTGAAGGTGGTCTAAGCCTTGCTTCTTTCTGTCCATGTCTTTGATGACACCCATGAAGAATAACCCGTCTTTTACTAATGGCAGTTTTAAAGTGAAGGCAGCCCATATCATCTAGGTGCCATTGGAATCCTAGTGTTTAATGTGATGAATCCTGTTAGTCTAATAAAAGCAGTGTGCCTGAAAACAGTGAAATCTGTTACCTTCAGATAAATAAAATCAATCATAGTCATAACATTAAAACAAAACAATTTACTTTTAAAACCAGCAAATTAACAAGAGAGTATATGTACTAAAATAGAAACATAGGGAGAAAAACATTGATTTTCAGATTTAAAGGGGACAGTTGGAGAATATGAAGAGAATCTTGAAAGAGAGAAGTGAACATAAAAGAAAGAACATAAAAAAAGAACATAATCTGGTTTTTAATACATTGTTGAAATATATTTTTGCATGAATTTTATTTTCATGACCCAATTTTAGTATTTAAAATGAGGCCAAAGCATATTAAAGATCCCTTTGGAAATAGGAAAATGTAGAAATGATAGAAGCAGAGGTGGTAAGTTGGCATTTAAGGGCCAAATCCAGCCCCAAAATATGTTTTAGTTGACTGACATACCATTTTATAAATTTGATGCAAATTTTAAAAGTTGAGAGATTTTATACAAAAATCCAGATTTTTATCTGTACTTGAAAAATAATTGTGCATCTCTGTATAGCAACATCATGTTGGGATGGGGACCTAGCCTAAATGGGACAGGTGACCCCCAGGTTACCATGATTTACCAGTGTTTTGCTTACCTCCTGCCTGGCCCTGTGGGCACTGAAGTTGGGACCCCTGGTATATAATGTAATGATTGAATTAACATAACTATGTGCATGTGCACATGTTTCAAATTGCTTACAAGGAAGAGCGAAGGCATTTATCATTCCTGTGTTGATAAAGCTTAGTCTAGTAGACTTATTTTTGCTTAACTTTGGGTCTTCCTCTTTCACAGTCTTAGTTAATGTGATTGGCACTTACACGAAAAAGTGTTGCTAGGTCTAGGATATCACATAGGTCATGCAGACTGTGAATTGCTTTAGGTGGTTCCTGAACAGACAGAAGTGTGGTAAGAACTTCTCTTCCTACCCTTGTGCTAGGACAGAAAGGAATAGTGTTTACTATAGGATTATAGTATTTATTAGATTTGAAAGAATGCCCTGATGGGGTTAACACTTGTCCTCTCTTCCTGTGGTCTTTAAAGGCAGGATGGAGTCTTATGTTGTTTGAGTGACGTACTCTTTGACTTAAAAATAGGTTGATGGATATGATAATTCCTTCAAGATGTCTTTAAGCCTTAAGAGTCTTAATATTTACTTGGGGCGTGACATTTATGAGAAACTAAATAGTGTTAACAGGGGATGTCATTTTTCTGGGGTAATTCAGAATTCGAAAGGAGATACTCAGCATTAAGTAGGAAATGAGAGAGCCAGCTAAATTTTATTCCTCCTTATCTCTGGGTTCTTTTGGTTATAGTAGAATTGCAATGAGAAACAATTTAATTAAAGACTGAATCAGTGTTAATTCTTTTAGAAGACTTTACTATTCTAGTTTTCATGACACTTGTATTATGTAAAAAGATTATATGCTATACCCAATTCATACCTTTTATTAATTGAACTAATCTTTTGCCACATGTTAATTAGCTTAAGTATATTAAACACCTGTTATATTTCAGTACCAAATGAAATGGCAAACCTACATTTCGGTATTTTGCAGAGCCAGTGTAGAAAAATACCATATATTGATAGGATCGAGTCTTTGGTCTTCACCCCATTCTTCAAGTTGCAGTGGTGGGCAGGGATAGTACTGAATCTCTCCAGGTATCACCCAAGAGGTTTGAAATTCAGAGTCTGTGATGGATTTGGGCTTTTGGCTTGCTTTCTTGTCTGTGTATTCACTCTCTGTGAGAATTGCTCCCGCCTAGCTGAAGTACACAGTGTTTAAGTTTAGGGAACTTTTTTTCATGTTTCGTGTCTCCTTTCCTGTAGGTGGGCCCATGTCATGTGTGCTGTTGCGGTCCCAGAAGTTCGATTCACTAATGTCCCAGAAAGGACACAGATAGATGTAGGCAGAATACCTTTACAGAGGTTAAAATTGGTGAGTGGCAAAGCTTCTTTTTTACCTCCTAAATCAGCATTAATTTCAAGTTCTGAGTATTTCTTTTAATGTCACATTCTCAAGATAATTTTTCTCTTAGCTTCATTTCATTATTCTACCCTTTTTTTCCGTTAGCCTAAATTTGCTTATTTGTACATATTCTCTTCCTATTTTATTGTAAGTATGATGTAACCTTCCTCAGTACTGCTTGAAATTAGGCAAAGGGATACTACTTTTTCTGGGTTAGTGTGAATTTTCAAACCTTAGGCTGTCTGGTGAGGTTTGTTAGTAATATACCTGAACTATCTATCTCTATTTAGATTGTTTAGTTTTTCTCTCTGGCCTCTCTTTGGTTGGTCTTCACTTAATTAGCAAATTCACCTAACCTGATTTCATTATCTCTTCACTAAGAGATTTGTAGAGAAATAGAAAAATTTTTACTATTACCATGGGATTTTTTTCATTTATGGATAGATGTAAGTCATTTAATTTGCCAAACTCTTTGGCTGATTATCTTCTGACTGGTTTAGAAACTTTCATAAAAATCTTCCTTCTCGTTCTCCTTGTTAAGAATATTTTTCATTCCAAGGATAGCCTTTCATTCCTCAACACTGGAGTTCTTTAAAGTGTGAGCCAAGAAAGCATTACTTTAGGCTCTTAAATTTCATATTTAATGATAATTTTCTCTAACATTACATTGCATGATTTTAAAATACTGTAGTATGTCTTACATGTGGACTTAATTCCCAAGAATTTCTTCAGTACTTCTTATTTTTAACTTGAGGTCTTTCCACTATAGAATATTTTGAGCACTATAGCTATAACTTTCTACCCAACTATTAACTTGTTACCAGTCTCTTCCCCATCAGGGAGCTGGGCATATTGTCTCTAGACCTCTGTCACAGGCACTTAGAATCTAGTCTTTCATTCTCAGAGAAGGGAAAGTATACACTGTTTTTTTCCGTTATAGCTGCATCAAGAATTTCATATTGCTAGAAAATATGCGGTCCTTTATGTACCTGATGATTGTCATTGGCAGGTGTGGGTGGTAGCACCAGGATGCTCAGGATGCGAAGTTTTGTGAATGAAATGGGTCACTTAAATGGCCCTTCAAAGCTCACAGTGATTCAGAAGAGTGTAAAAAGTTCTTCAGCTCCAGGACTTCCATAGGAAAGTTTGAAATCTTGTATCTTGGTCACCAGTTAAAAAAAAACTACACACATTCCAATGAGAAACAAAAAACATTTGCCAGAATTAGGATTATGAGGTAGGGTATTTTAAAAATGTTGAGTTCATCACATGTTGAAGAATTTAATGGTTAGCATGACAAATATTAACAAATGTCTTACATTTTAATTTTTCTCCAATTTACAAGTAGTATGTATTTGCAAAGATTCCAACACTGCATTTAACAATCATCTTTGGTTCTCTATCCTGAAAGATGACTTCTGTTAACCAGTTTAATGCTCTTGACACTTTCCTTTAAGGAACTATATCCTGGCTAATCTAGTACATGAATGCTGATTTATTGTTACTCACACCAGTCCCAAAGGGGTTTTAAGGGAACAGCAGGGAAGGACAACATGGGATCATTTCCATGCCATCCAGAAAGTTGTATTTAGAAATTTGACGTCTAAAGTGGCCAAGCTTACTGTTTTCTTCTCATTGCTATGCCTCACCTTGATTGTGTATATCACATACTCTTTACAGAATGTTTTACATCCTGAAATAATTGATACCTTGAAAAGCATATGTTTTGACTGAATTTAAGATCATCTAAAGTCTACTTCTAATGGCAGTGTAGAGCTGTTTATTGACTTATTTGGGTGAAATTAGCAGGCTGTAGATCAGATTTTTTTCTGTTTGTAATAGTTTTATATGCATAGAGAATTTCTTGGTATTTATCAAGTGGTACTTACCAAAATGCTCACAGTGGTTAAGTGGGGAAATACAAGGAGAAACTACATTTTGGGGAAAAAAATCACTCAAAAATTCTGTTACAGTTTGAAAGTGGGCAACAACCAAAAGTCTAGATGACTTTTTTATCAAGAATTGTCAAGAAAGCACCGTCACTGTGGTGAGTCTCCCATCGCATAGCATCTGTGCACCAGTCCTTCTCACTTAGTGATCGGACTCAGATGGGCTGGCTTTGAATAACACAATTTACACATGATCACTTGTGTGTGGCATGGGACACACCCTTCCAGGGAACGGGATGCCTTGCCCTGTATGTGCAGAGGGTATGCTTTCCTGACATTGGCATTCTTTTAAAGTTTAAGTAATCTGTTGGTACATGGCCATTAGAAGTTAGTATCAGTTTATTTCACCAAACCATTATTAACCATACCTTGCCAGGTACTTGGTGTACATTTTCAAATAAGACATTTGTTCCTGTCTTTTAGCATCTTACAGTCTAGATGGGCTTTCTCAGCTTTGGCTCTATTGACCTTTTAGACAATTTTTTGTTTGGGTGACTGTCCTGTGTATTGTAGATTGGAGCATCCCAGACCAAACATACAATGCTAGATACCTTTTGGTAGGCAATATGATTCCCATTTGAGAACCTACCCACTGGTCTATAGGGAAGACATACACATAAAGAGGAAATTTTAACTTCTGTCATTTTCAGACAGAATATCTTGGTTGAAAGAAGTAAGTTGGAGACTGAGAGAATAGAAATTCTTAATTGTTTTTAAAAACAATCCTAGAGAATTTTTTTGGCAAATTGAATTTGTCAACCAAGTAATGAAATTTGGCAACATATATGTATATTTACTACTGTATAATTATTATATAATCTGATTATTTTAACACTACTTATTCTTACAAAAATTGAACAACTTTGAATAGTAATCAAGTGATGTGTATGTGTGTGTGCACATGTGGTAATTTTGAGTAAATATTTATGGAATAAAAGGCAGCAAATTGCTATTTATTATTTCTGCTTCTGACTTAAAATTATTGTGGCTGGAGGGTTGGATCACACAATACCAGTGGCTTCTGCCTTTATATGGTTTCCTCTTTAAAAGTTGTGGTGGTAAGCTTATGCACAAGTCTCTGTAAGCTGCTCCAAAGCAAGCACTGACCCTGGAACAGCAGTGAGGGGGACTCTGAGCCTCTCCCCAGTGCCCACTAGGTGGTGCTGCTGTACCACCTCCCTAACAAGTGCCCAATCAGAGTCCTGCCCACATTTGTAGAGGTGGGTGTGTGTGTGTGTGTGAGAGAGAGAGAGAGAGAGAGAGAGAGAGAGAAAGAGAGACGGAGAGATGGAGAGATGGCATCAGGAAAGGGAAAATGCTACTGGCTGTGCATTCAAAGTGCTGAATTCCAGAGGGCAGTTTTTTAGTTTAGTTTTCATTTAGCCATATGAAAAGAACAGCTTTCCCTTGGGGCAAGTTAGTGTTTTTCTGTATAAGTAAGAAGCAACACTAGTTAACACCCAGTAACTGCAAGAGGCTTAAAGAACAGCTGATGGCAAACATAAGTTTAAAATGTCTTCTGAAGTATGAAAGCTGTATATTTAAAAAAAATTATCATTATTATTAGTCTTTCTAGAACACGGAATACTGGAATTTATGCATAAGTATTTGAATGTTTTGGTAATACTATTGTTAGTCTTTTATTTATTCATTGGTTCAACTTGCAGCTTTTGAAATACCTCTCTGTACAATTATTTGTGTAGGAAGATTTTTTTTTTTTGCAGAGGATATAAGAAGATTTGTTTACTTTAGTAGATTTTCCCTCTTATTTATAATGACCATTTTTTAAAAAAGAGGCAGCAAATGGAAAACAACTTTTTCAATGCTCATCAGTGGATTACGTTGATACTAAAATGGTGTGTGTTTTTATGAAGAACCTTTATCTCATCCAGCTACCTTGTTTGGTAATATCACAGGTGTGGTCTCTGCTCATTAGATAATTAAATGGACAGCAATGATGACACTAGACTTCTTTTCAAGACAATGTATTTCCTTTTATGTGGTTGATAATTTTAAATACCTTCTCCACTCTCCAGTGAACATCAGAGCATTGTTGCCTGGTAGGACAAAGGATGAGAAGGATGCTGAAGACATTCCTACCCCTACTTGATCGGTGTGCTCAGGGATAGCCAGGCTAGGGGTTTGTTTGAAGTCACAGGCCATCGATGGGTATGCCTGAATTTTTTTTTTTAAAGATTTTATTTATTTATTCATGAGAGACAGAGAGAGAGACAGAGGCAGAGGGAGAAGCAGGCTCCCCACGGAGCGGGGAGCCCGATGCGGGACTCGATCCCAGGACCCTGGGATCATGACCTGAGCCGAAGGCAGACGCTTAACCGACTGAGCCACCCAGGCGTCCCGATGGGTATGCCTGAAGACAAAAAAAACAACTGACTCCACGTCATACAGATTTAAGAATTTACTCAGTCATTTCCTTATCTCAATTCCTTCCATTTGTTCCAATTGTTTTCTCTACTAATATAATTGGTTAGCCATGGTCATAATTAAATCTTTGGAAGAGGAGCAAAATTGGGCAAAGATGAGAATACAAGAAAAGGAAATAGAGAGAAAACACATATGAAGTTAGAATGTCTTTTTTTTTAACTTTTCATGATGGAAAAAATACAGGTAAAAATTAGCGGGAAGAAGAGTTAAGGACAGAAATTTAGAGAGGACAAACAATATATTCTTTTTATAGTAGAATCACACAGAAGACAGCAGTATTATCTGCTGAAATAATCTTCAGTACCAGTGTTATCTTTTGGAAGCAGATCACCAAAAAATCTTCAAATTCGATTATAAAATTTAAGGGAAGAACATTTTAAGAACCTAACAAAAGGAGTAAAACAGCATGAAGTTCTGGTATTTGTTACATACTTACCATGAATGTCTATTGCATATATCGATCACTTCTTGAAGGTTAAATTAATTAAATATCTGTGGAATTGATATAAATAAAACAGCAAGGCACGTTTGTGGATTCTAAGAAATCTTGGGAAATCGTAGCAGACCTTTGATGCA